CCCGAAGTTTGGGCGTAGCATTTTGAATTTGAGATCTTTGTTGACAAAACGACTCTCAAGACCTTATCAAGACCATATAATCACTATCCCCGAAGAATATTTTTGCTATCAATTTATAATGTTTGGTCCAAACTTTCTCTTAAATTCAAAGAAATTTAAAGCAAAGGTTCGGAAAACTAGATGCTGCGGCAGTGGACTCCCGGATTCTGGGGCTCCGCCCCGGATAATCTATAAAATCATTGGCTGGTAGTAATTTTAGACAACAATCGGAATTTTTGAATTCACATTTGCTTTGTTTTCGATTTTAATATATCAATCAGGATTTGTTACATGTATTTTATTAAGGCTTTATAAAAGAGGAAACAATGAAGTGGAGTCACCGTACATCAATAATTACGTTTTTCCGGAACTATAATCGACAAAAAGAATTAAAGAATTTTATTCCAAAAATATTTTCTAAAAACGATATGAGAATTTCATCACGGAACCTTCTCGAACAAATGCTTACATCATATGTACATAAAAGGTATGTTATACGGAAGTATCGCCATTGTTTCTTTCAAAAGCAATCCTTTAACGGAACGTACGTGCCTACGTACGGATACCGCATTCCGAGGATCTCGTTACACACATTTTATTAACAATCATGATCAACTTATATTATTGCATGTGATATATCCAATTTTTCTTTATAAATCGCTTATCGTTATTTTTTTTTTGTATTCACAAATTAAAATTTATAGTTATTTTAAAAACATGGTTGAAATCAAAAGATGGGAGTTTAAAAATAAAAAATTAGAAATTGAAGCAATCACCCATAAATCGTTTGCCATCGAACAACCTGAAAATGGTCCCCATAATGAAAGACTTGAATGGATAGGTGATTCCATAATCTCTACTGTAGTTGCTGATTATCTATTTTTCCGTTTTCAAGATTATAAAGAAGGCACTCTTACAACTTTGAGGTCAAATATTGTTTGTAAGGAAGCGTTAGCTGTATTTTCTCGTAAATTAGGTTTAGATAATGAACTTAGGTTGGGAAAAGGTGCATTAGCAGCGGGTGATAGAAATAATGAAAGAATTTTAGAAGATACTTTTGAAGCATATATTGGTGCTATTTATTTGGATTGTGGCAGAAACTTAAATGATGTTATAGAATTTATGGAACCAATTATTAAACCATTTGTGGACGATTTGGTTGCAAACTCTGAAAATGGTCATAATTCATCTAACAACGTAGGAGTTGTATATGGTCCTATGAATAAGCCAATAGAATCTGATTCATTGGAAAATCCTATAGGAAAATTACAACATTGGGCTCAATCACATAAATGCTCCATGATCTCCCAATCTTGTTAGTGTCATCAAGATTATAGAGATCTTGTTTCAACCAATCATTATCAAAAGATAGTAGTCATTATATAGATAGAATTTTTTGAAATTCATTGTCAGTAGATTTTGAACCCCTACCTAGCCAACATATCACTTAGAGATATAATAACTTAACTATTTCACTAAGTCACTACACCCTAATTTTTAAATTTTTAAGAAAATAAATAAATTTACAGTCAAACTTTCATAAATACAATGTGTACAGACCAGTTTAAAACATGTATTTAAAGAAGTTTGCATTTAGAGAGAGCTAATCAAATTGCAGCTTTTAATATTTGATCTGCAGGTTTGTATAACAAACTTAAATACTAACTTCTGATTGGCTATGTGCACTTAGGGAGATTAGTATGATATAAAAAATCTTTTGAGTGAACATGTATTTGCAGAATATAGAATATATATTTAGCACTAATGATTTCATATAGCCAAGACAAAAATATGTATTTAAAGAGATATTGTATTTATAAAAGTTATATTTAGAGAGGTTCGACTATACCTTAAATATAATATATTGAAGAGCAGATATTCTCTAATAGTTTTTTAGTGTTAAGTTCTTTTTTTAGCAAACTCTTTAATTGATAATTCTCCAGTAAACTGAAAAATGCTCATAGTGAAATATAACTGGTTTTATATATAAATTACTATAGATATAAAAGAAAAAATTTTTTAGTAATTGTCTAAAAAAACTTTTTGTACTAAGTTAATCATTTTTGAGTCTCTAAGTAAAGTTATAGAGCTCATCAAAATAAATCTAATAGCAGTTAGATCATTCAAATTAGTCTAGTAGATGCTAAAATATCTTTGAAAAATATTTGTCAACTATATAAAATTCTTTAAGAACAATTCAAAGAATTTTTATATAATCAGTGAATATTTTTTAAAGATATCTTGATATCAGTATTTAAAATTAGCTTGCACAAGATATACATATACAAGAGTTTTTTTTAGATTTTTTTAGATTTTTAAAAAATCTCTTAAGTGTGCAAGTAAAATTTTTAAAAAAAGTTGCACAAAATGCATTTGTGTATGTGATTTTTTTTTTTAAATTTTAAATACTATTTAACATCTACTAGACCAATTTAGATGCAAACAAAAAATCTGTGCTAGGTTTTGTCAATTATGTGGCGCAGCAAACTTTTTTAAAGTTCATTAATGTTAAGGTTGGTGTTTAGAACAAGGTTAGAGGTTAGGTGGTTATACAGTAAAATTGCTCAAGAAAAACTTTTTGTTAAAACACAAAATGTGGTTTTTTATATAGATTTTGAGAAATAAGTGATTTTTAACAAAACGAACAAAATTTTCTGATCGTGTTCCGTTACACCTGATCCTTGAAAACTGATTTGTGGATCATGAGATCTGTGCAATATGATCGACAAAACCTGGCACAGATTTTTTGTTTGCAATTTAGATAATCTAACTACTATTAGATTTGTCTTAATGAGCTCTACAACTTTACTTAGAGACTCAAAGATGATTAACTTAGTACAAAAAAATTTTTTTTGAACAATCATTAGAAAATTTTTCTTTTGCATCTATAGTAATTTACATATAAAATTGTATTATGTTTTACTATAATCATTTTTTAGTTCACTAGAGAATCATCAATTAAGATATTTGGTATCTAAATTAAAAATATTATTCTAAGAATAAGAATAATAAACCTTTATTAAGTTTAGTAAAAATTTAAAAACCACAAAAAGAATTTTATATATTTGTTAACCTATCACTTTTTTTAAAAAAAATTTTTATAAAAAGTAAGTATCTCAGTTTATCTTCTTTAAAAAATCAATATTATATATATCAAAACAGTCAGTATTGTTTATCTTTCAAATCAGATTAATACAATTGAGTAGCAATAAATACATACATACATGTGCCTCAAATGCAAGAATATCTATACAAATAATGTTCTAAAACTTAACTTTGATCTCTTTACAATAACTAGATTGATAAAGTTTTCTTATTAAGTTTTTTATAGATATACTAATTAGATAAACTTAAAATAAAGACTAGTTTATATAATAGTATATAATTTTTACAAGCCTGTAATCATTAGAATAAACAAATTTTACTCCTCTCACCCTATTTTTTCTTGTTTATTATATTTTATCATAGTTCACTATATCTCTGTTTTTGTTTTTAGTACTTTTTTCTGTTATGTTTTTGTATATTGCATCTTGACAAGCATATAGCTACTAGCCAAAAAATAAAAAAAAAGCTCTTAATAAGTTAGAGACTCTGAGTAAGACCAAGGGCTACTAAGGCAGGTCACATTTGACAAATCACAGGTTTATACCTGATGTGCATCTTTGTTTGCGATTAAATTCGCTCTAAGCTAAAGATAAAAAATTTTTTAAATTTTGTTAAATAGTAATGAATTCTAAATAAAACAGGGCAGGATAGTCAAAGTACAAAAAAAATATAATATCTGTAAAAATTAAAAATAAAACAATAAAATGTGCACATCGGTGCACCCTATAGCAAACTATAGCAAAATTAATATAAATAAGAATTAAATTAGAGTTAGGGTTAGATTAGGGTTAAAATTAAGGTTGGGTTAGGGTAAAAACTTGACGGGGAGTATTTTTTATTAGTTATACAACAGGGGTTACCCTAGTAAAATTTTAAGATATCATAGAAGGGTGCATCAAGTGCAAGGTGCACCAAAAATAAATGCCCTAAAATTTAAATAGATTATTTATAAAAAAGATATTGTTAATTTTACTTAATAAATAGAAGAAACAAGCTTAAATAAATTTTGAAAAATTAAAAACTTTTAAAAATTATTTTAGTAGACCCACTAGACGGTTT